ACACTTTTTCCTTCCACTCAACTTTCTGTTAACATGCTTGGATACAGCATTCTGTAAACAGCCAGCTTCTTTGGCAATGAATGTTTGTGGCTTACCCTCCTTGTGAAGGGTGTCAATGATTGTCTTCTGGACAACTGTCAGATCAGCAGTCTTCCCCATGATTGTGTAGCCTAGTGAACCAAACTGAGAGACCATTTTGAAGGCTCAGGAAAATTTGCAGGTGTTTTGAGTTGATTAGCTGGTTGGCATGTCACCATATTCTAATTTGTTGAGATAGTGAATTGGGGGGTTTTTGTTAAACGTGAGCCAAAATCATCACAATTAAAAGAACCAAAGACTTAAACTACTTCAGTCTGTGTGCATTGAATTTATTTAATACACGAGTTTCACAATTTGAGTTGAATTACTGAAATAAATGAACTTTTCCACAACATTCTAATTTATTTATATACACCTGTATATATGGACTATTTTAAAGCTGCGGAGTAATCCAGTACCTGCGTGACTTGTCATAGAAATATCTGTGTGTGCGCCTATGCAGTGTGATCTCCCATATTTGTGTGCCAGTGACTGTGCATGTGTGTTTCGATATAGCCAGCATATTAAAGGGTTACTCCACCCCAAAATGAAAATTTTGTCATTAATCACTTACCCCCATGTCGTTCCAAACCCATAAAAGCTTTGTTCGTCTTCGGAGCACAATTTAAGATATTTTGGATGAAAACCGGGAGGCATGTGACTGTCCCATTGACTGCCAAGTAAATTACACTGTCAAGGTCCAGAAAAGTATGAAAGACATCGTCAGAATAGTCCATCTGCCATCAGTGGTTCAATCTGAATTTTATGAAGTGGCGAGAATACTTTTTGTATGTGAAGAAAACAAAAATAACGACTTTATTCAACAATTCGTCTCCTCTGTGTCTCTCTGCATTACCGTAGCGCAATTTTGGAGAACATCTGCTGAATGCAAGCAGTGTACACTCTTCTGTGTCAGCCGCGACACAAGGATACATTTTCTACATGCTTTCATTTGAACGAAAACAGCGCATCCATGCAGACACAGAAGAGCGTACGCTGCTTGCGTTCAGTGGTTATTCTCCAAAATGCAGAGAGACATAGAGGAGACGAATTGTTGAATAAAGTCGTTATTTTTGTTTTCTTCACATACAAAAAGTATTCTTGTCGCTTCATAACATTACGGTTGAACCACTGATGGCAGATGGACTATTCTGACGATGTCTTTCATACTTTTCTGGACCTTCACAGTGTAATTTACTTGGCAGTCAATGGGACAGTTTTGTCCCATTGACAGCCTCCCGATATTGTGGAATAGATTAAACGGATATATCAAAGAAAGTGTTAATATGTTGCAATTTAAAAGTAGGTATAAAATATTTATTTTTGATAAATACAGAAGGGGGGGGGGGGGGGGGGGGGGGGGAATTTTCATTTTGGGGTGGAGTAACCCTTTAATATAAAACTGTGATTATATTGACTGGAACATCCTATTGATTACACAGTTTGAAAGCACGCCTTTCAACCAATCAGTATAGCATACTCAGCTACTGTAGACCTACTCATGGTGAATTTAACTCATAATCATGATGAACTTCACACAGTTAATTGAACTGAATCATAGCTATTAAAACAATCTGTATTTTATTTACTTTATTTTACAGGTTGGAACAAACATGGTGGAATTCCTTAACCGAGCAGAGTCCACAAAACCCCATGCATTTGTCATGGAGATTTGAAATTGCCAGCAGATCTCTCAGGCATTGATCATAATCAATGGACAGGTAAGTATATTCTGGACAATTTTCAAAAGGGATTGCAAATTGTATATTTAATTGCATTTTTCCTCATGTGGACTCATAAATTGTGACATAGTCCAAACACAATTGAAAATCTTGCATTACCATTTGCGTTTTCGTGAACTCTCAGTGACTGCCACATTTCAAATGGAAAAGCAACTGTAACTGTTCCCATGTCTTACAAGTAATGAGCCTGTCGTATTTAAATAGCAATATTAATTACCACGTCTGCTTTTTCACTCTCTCTGTGCCGTGCATGTAATATGCCAAAACTCAAATGGAATCGCAATTCCTTTAGCATTTGAATTTCAGATGCCTTACACAGAAACCTGTCAATCCGTGTCAGGGGTGGGACTATACTATGGGGCATGTTTGTATTGGGAGGTGACGTCACTCACAAACGATTGTGCCAAATTAAATAATTCATAAATAATTTGCACTCTGATGCACGCCAGCAAAACAACATTGCAATTCTACTCTTATTTGCCTATTTGCATCTTACCCTATATTTTATTCCTCTCTTCTTGAGGCAGGTGAAAAGCATTTGGTTAATGGTGAATATTGACCAATAGTACCGTTGTGGCTCCCACTGTTAGCAGGGGATAGTCGCTGCATTTGGGGTAAAAACGATGGAATTATTTATTGTGTAAGGTGCCAAGAATATAGGGAGACCCGGGCTGCACTGTCTGTTCTTTCACACGCATCTCTCGGAGTGGCAGCTGCCTTTAGTAGTGCCTTTAGTACGATTCCATTTAAGTTTTGGCAGGTTACATGTGCGTGAAAAAGCAGACGTGGTCATTAATAACACCCGATGTACTTGTTTTTATGATGCATCTATGCTAACATTAGTCTGTTTCGTTCTTATTCCGAGGTCACCATAGCCACCCGGATCCAGTCAGTATCCAGATCAGATGGTCAATGCAGTCATCCGTATCTAGTCTGTATCCAGCCCAGATGGTGGATCAGCACCTAGAGATGACCTCGACAGCTTTGAATGTCAGCTGAGACCAGGACATCTAGCCCCAGAGACAGATCCCCAGACCTCGTCACCTAGACGGCCATCGGCACAAGACCACGGGAACCAGATGAGTCCTCTGCACAATCAGACTCTGCTGCAGCCTGGAGTTGAACTGCTGGTTTCGTCTGGCCAGAGGAGAACTGGCCCCCCGACTGAGCCTGGTTTCTCCCAAGGTTCTTTTCTCCATTCTGTCACCGATGGCGTTTTTGTTCCTTGCCGCTGTTGCCTCTGGCTTGCTTAGTTGGGGACACTTAATTTCCAGCGATATCGTCGACTTGATTGCACAGATAGTATTTGAACTGAACTGAGCTGGACGATAAATCATTGAATCAATGATGAACTGACTTTAACTGAAAATGTAGTTTACTGTTGTCCTTTTGTATTATTACACACTATTTTCCTCTTTAATACTCTAAAGCTGCTTTGACGCTGTATTTTTTAAATATGACAGGCTCATTACTCTCATTACTATAATACATGGAAAATACAGTTGTAAATGGACTTTGCTTTTCCATTTGAAATTTGGCAGTCACTGTGCATTCATGAAAACGCAAACAGTAATGCAAGATTTGCAATTGTGTTTGGATTATGTCACAATTGGTCACATGTGGAAAACACAATTGAAAATATAATTTGCAATTCCTTTTGAAAATTGTTTGGAATATCCTTCCATAGACAGGCTCTATAGCAGAGCACACTGCTCTCAGCTGTAGATCTTCGCTTCAAAGCTTTCTAAAAGTGTTTGACGATAGTTCAATTCTGTCATTAATTACTCACCCTGGTCTGAAAGCTCTTGGATTTCATCTAAAATATCTTAACTTAAAGATGAACGAAGGTCTTACGGGTTTGTAATGACATGAGAGGGAGTAATAATTGACAGAACTTTCATTTTGGGGTGAACTACCTTTTAACTACCCTAAGCATCTTTAAATTATTTTGCATTCTGTCTTTTTAAATTTTAATTGTCAATGTCATTTCACTGTGTATTTAAATAGTTAAACGTGTCAAAATGTATTAGTTAAACAGACACATGTAATTCAGAACTAATTTTCTTATTACAACTGTATTTCTGTGATTTTTGCATTTGCTGGAAAAAAGAAAAAGAAAATTGCATGTCGTTTGTCATTGGTACAAATTTGTGAATGTCATTGGCATTTAAAAAAAAAAAAAAAAAAAAAAAAAAAAAGTTGAACAGTCTAAATAACCTGTATTCTTTATTAATCCATGATTGATTTGTAAGCATAGGCGAAATTATTCGAAACGTGCAGTGCTAATGTTTATTCAACAAAGTCAAACTGTCAAAGCCTTTTGAAAAATCTTTTTGTGGCAGTCAGTGTTGATATTGTGGTGTGCTGCCACAAATAAGTCAATGAACGGGAAACACTGCTAATGTATATTGAAGTATCGGAAATGTTTAAAAATCATATCACCGTTACTGAAAAAAATATATACATATATTGATATTGAATTATTGTCCAGCCCCATGTTTGGTCCTTATGCATGACAGCCTGCTCGCTGTAAGATTTCACAAATTTAAAAAGCCATCAGACATATTGCAACACATTTCAAGAGTTAATTAACCACATAGCACACTCCGATATGAGCAGACCTTCTAACCTTGGAAACTTTTTTGCTGAGTGCATCAACTGTCATCAACAATGAGCATGTGCCACAGAGCAGTTTCTCAAACAGAAATGTCCATGACCCCAGACGGTGACTGACAGTCTAATATTGGCTACACTATACAAGCCCATTCTTGATAAGGAGCTCAGTGCTTCAGAACTGCGGTCTTCTCAAGAGGATGCCGTGTCCAGCCTGGGAAAGCTGATAAGATGCTCGGCCCTCTTCACTTCAGAGCAGCACTGGCCATCTGATTGGAAAGCTGAAAGTGCTGCTCTCGCTGCTATCAGATGGGCTTTAATAGTTCACATGCTGGAGCTCTTGAAGGAAAAACATTCCTCCAGGATTCAACCACAGTCAAGATAAATGCATTCAAAGGCTCATATCCTAATAGATCAATCAAATTTCTCATACTTCTGAAAAACAAGTTTACTGGAAATACACTGTAAATTTAAAACTCAACATCTTCTCAAAAAAATAAATAAATAGAATTTCTTGAAATTAAACCGCAAAATCAACTTGTTCGGAACTTGCTGACTTTAAGTTAGACACTATGGTCAGGGTTACTAACATGACTCCATTAACTTTTTTTGGATAGTGAAAATTAGACTAGGGACAAATCTGTTTAATATCAAACATCAACTAAAATGATTTTTATTCTGCCATCCCAATAGTTTAGATTTTTACTTGCCCTGCCAACACCATCATTGGCCCCACCATAAATGAATGATCAATTTTTTTTTTTTTAGCAATTCACTTATATTTGCTAGAATCATTAGTATTTTGATGAATGAAATGAAATTATACATGAATTGAGAACTAAAATGTGAACCACTTTGAAAACATTAGGCATCATACACTTACCGACATTGTAAATGTTTACAGAGAAAAACACTAAACGAAAGTACTACCAGACAGCTACAGTGTTTATGACAAATGAAATGTGAGAAAAATGATTATCCCTGGTTGTCTTTTAAAACATTAAGCCAGGTTAAGAGTTTTCACGCGTTTTCCACGTACTCCACTGCGCTACATTTGCGCACGCATCTCGCATCTTTCGCTCCCGAAATAGTGTCTCGACTCTCGAGTCAAAAGAAGTCTAATGGTGGGGTCCCGGTGGTGTCCCGTGCGCCACTTTTTCATCACCTACGGGTCATAGATGCACTGGACCGATTGGGAAATGAAAGGCAGCTCCGGCCGCCGGTCATAGATCAGCATGTTGGAGTACGTGACTCTGTCCGCCGTCACCTGTCAGGCCGGTGGAAGAGAATTAGCGAGATCTCTCGTCTGGGTGAATCTCTCAATCACGCTCATGTACCTGTTTGAGAAAGCCACAGTCTCGCAGTAACACGTAGAAGAGCAGCGTGTCGTCAGACACCGTGAAGCTCGGCAGACAGTTTCCCAGCAAAGCTCTGAACGGATCCAGTTTCTGAGACTAGTTCAGTCCGGGTCTCCAGCGGACAGTGACCGAATCATCGCCGCCGCAGTCTACAGACAAATCTGAACACAAACCGCTCCAGTTAACGAACACACACGTACACATATTGAGATGAGGAACTTACCATTTTGTGCCATTGCAGCGGCTACAAACATCAACAACAGCCGTCCTGAAATCATCTTCAGTCAAACAAGAACAGCAACATCTCTCCCCTGCTTAAGTGGATCTGATGGTAATCAGGTTAACCAGCGCCAGCTGAGCGTTAACTCAGTAACCAGCCGCTCTCTCACAGGTGTCAATCACAAGGGTTTATGGAACCCTCCACACCAGAGGCCCGTTTCAGAAAGGAGGTTGGGGGAGTTGTTTACACTGTTAAAGAGTTGGATTCTCAAGCTAAGCATGGACAAAGTTTCAAAAAACAATTTGGACGTATGACGGAGTATCTCTGTGCCAAAAACTTACTTCCGGGTTCGTACAAGTTTCGGAGAGTTTTTTTCGATCTGGCTCTTCATGACGTAAAAGAGGGTGGTACTCCTTATATGGGCATTTCACCAGGAAGAGCGCGCCCGCGCACACATCGACCAGAGCGAGAGTCAGTAGTGATGGGAAGTTCGGATCATTTTACCGACTCGGACCTTTGAGTCTCGTTCAGCAAAATGAACGAATCTTTTTTCGAGTCATTTCGTTCATTTTAGCAAAATATAATTAAAATGTTACGTGTTACTTCCCTAACACGTCTACTACTTACGCAAACGTTGATCACACTACAAACAATACAAAACTGCTATAAGAAACAGAAAAGATTAATTCATTGTTTACCTGGGTCTTCAGTCTATGATTAGCTCACCTCACCTCTTATCTGACAAGACTTTGAGTCGTTCGTTCATCACGTGACAGCCCCATAAACTTAACCAATGCAGTCTGAGCCGAAAGAGAATTGATTAGTTCATCTCTCGAGTCTTTCGACTCATTCGTTCTTTTGTCACGTGATGTGACAGCATTAGATAAAGAAATTAGTTAATTAACAAGCTTCCTTACAAACGGGTGCATAGCTATTATTATTATTATTATTGAGAAGTGGGACAAAACAGGGTGCAAAATTGATCAAATAAAACCTTGTACTCAGACAAATGAAACTACATTTATGTATCTTATATGTACTAAGCTACTGAGCTATGCTTTGATACAACCTCCCAACTGTTCTCTTTTTTAACAAAATGTGCTTTTTTACCTTGGACTGTGTAATATAATTTCAGCTTTATCTTTAACAGCATTCAAGATGTTTTTAACATTTCAAAACACATTCTGGTGTTAGCTGACAGATTACACTTTCACATGTGACCAACAATTCCACAACAAATCTAAAATATCATAATGAAATATTATCAAAATATTCTACTGACGGAGGTGGCAGAACTGACGGAGTTGACACATCTGACGGTGGTGACGAAAACCTGAATTTGTAGTCATTTGAACTATCAAATACATTGAATCAGTCAATTACTGTATTAAAACAAACACAACAAACAGTGAGTATGTTATTGTTTATAAAGCTTTTATTCAAGAGTCACATTGAAGTATTTTGATATATCATTGGAACACAAAATCTTATGGTGGTGACATCTGACGGTGTTGACAAATTTGGCATTTCTTTCACAAAACCAATGGAGTTCATGTAGTAGCCATTTTCTTTTTTTTCTGTTGATGCTAGATGCTAATGGAACCTGCTTCAGGAGAATAAAATGATCTAAATATTTCAAATAATTTCCTCAGAAATTGGAAGATGGTGTTGACATATCATGGCTGTGACACAGGAAATATTAACATTAGGATTTAAAATATTCTAAAACTATAAAACTTAGCAGAGCCTGTCTGACACTGCTGTACTCTGCAGAGGTGAACTGTGGCAAGGGGCTCCTTTAGAGTGACAGCTGCCCCTGATATTCCCTGATTTTATTACATTTTATTGAATGTCTGACGGTGTAAAATCTTATGAAACATGCATGTGTCATTAAAAAACAACCTTGCTTTGATAGGAGATATTATTAAGTGTTGCTTTTGATAAAACAAGCTCTTTTTCATCATTAAAATGGTTTTTTATCCATTTTATTGCATATGAATGATTGAACCCTTCTCTGTGGACACACTGAAACACAGATTTGGTATAATAATGAGATAATTTAATTGAAGGTGATAATTGTGTTAAATACATTCTATTATTAATCCCTCATGACATTTAAAATTGAAAATATTTTTTTATTTTTAAACCTAATAGCAGTTACCCTTGCTGGACCTGTTTTGTCCCACGTCTCAAGAGTTACATGATGCGTTTCTGGTCTCAAATTGTAGCTTTTTACTTAGTTTATAAATGTGTGAATTTCTACCATGATGGTTCTTTTCCATAACACTGAATGTTGTAACAAAGGTAACAAAGAGTTGGTTATTATTATTAAGTCTCTTTCGGCTCAGACTGCATAGGTTAAGCTTATGGGGCTGTCATGTGATGAACGAACGACTCGAAACAGGTGAACTACTTGACTAATTCCAGTATAGAACCTATAGGATGTTGCCCAGCTATTATAAGCGTTTTTGGACTTGTCTTTTCCACTTAATTTAACACTTTAGAAAGTTAATAAAGTAGGAAGTTGCAGTTTAGAGTCACATATCTGTATCTTATTTGCAAAAGATTGGAAATAATTTCGGTTTATTTTTAGTATTTTGTTTGTTTTAGTATCAATATCTGGCAACACTGCATCGCTGGTGTTCTGACAAATAATGCTACTTATCAGATTATGCTACCAACACTGTATTTATCCTACTGTAAGGGTAAGTTTAGGGTTGGGGTAGGCGTGCATGTTAATAAAGCCTCACACCTTATTAATATCATGCTGGAAGCAAAATCAGATTTTTGCTGACAGGATACAACATTCGGTAAGGGAAACGCAAAAATCATCATGATATTATCGGTCATAAATGTTATCAGCGCTGTCAAAAACAGTAGCATTTAACACTAGTACACACAGATCTGTAGAACAAGTAGGTTACAGAATTAAATGAAATAGCATAGACTTCTTCATGGCTAGTTTTTGCTATGTCATTCAGTATAGTTAAATGTTTACAAATCATGCTATAAACTTTCATAAGAGCACTAGACAAAGTTATTGTAGTTATGTATTGTTGCAATAAACAACTGATAAAATTATCCACCCTTAAATATAGTAAAGTATTAACACATTTTGATGCAATAAATAGGGTATGATTTAAAAAATAATCAGAAAACATCTTTCACAAACATCTACATGTCTGTCTCCTTTAAAGTGTTTATAGTGTGTATATAATGAGTATTTGTAGGGGTTATTATAACACAATTCTTTAACACCAGTCTGATGTGAACAGGTATGACAAGTTGTGTGGCTGACATCAAGCATTGTCTGGCCCATTTACATGCATTATAAGTGTCCTACTGTAACTGTCATGGTTTTTGCAGTTATTAAATTAAAACATTTTTTGAAATGGCAAAATTATTTTCTGTGGTAATGGGCATTCAGCCACAAGTTCCTCAACTGCTGTCAATAGAGTTTCAGGTGAACCCGAAATATCCCTTTAAATCAACTAAAGAGAATGTCAGAAATATGTGAATGTTTCAGTAAAAGAGTTAAAGTAAATGGCAAAATTATTTTCTGTGGTAATGGGCATTCAGCCACAAGTTCCTCAACTGCTGTCAATAGAGTTTCAGGTGAACCCAAAATATCCCTTTAAATCAACTAAAGAGAATGTCAGAAATATGTGAATGTTTCAGTAAAAGAGTTAAAGTCTCTTAACTCATTCTATCCATATTCTAGACACATACTGTATCTTGTATATAATATGTACATATACATAAAATGTGGTCCATCCTGTTTTCCGCACCACAAGTCGGAAGTCTGTGTTGGGGAGGTGGGATAGTTTGTAATGACTCCTCATTTGGCTCTTAAAGTTTCTTCCTCATCTTTCCTTTCTTGTTGCTGCCACGACCAAAGCCAGATTTCATCACTCCCTGCAGGCGCCGTCTTCCTTTGGTATGGAGCTTCTTCATGCCGCTACTCTGCAGAAACTGCTGTTTGGCTTTCCGTTTGCGCTGCTTGAGAATCGGCTCGCGGTTTTTCAGCTCGGATAGCACACGTGAGCCGCTCTGCTGCTGGGCCGGCTGCGACTGAGCTCCTCCTTGTCCTCTGCCTCTATGACCTGAGGAAACCACAACACAAACACACAAATACTCAAAAAGAGAGAAGCGGTGACATGTAATGAAATGATTTTACACATGAAGTGGAAATAGGTTACACCACATTCTTCTATAGGTGCATCTCAATAAATTAGAATGTCATGGAAAAGTTCATTTATTTCAGTAATTCAACTCAAATTGTGAAACTCATGTATTAAATAAATTCAATGCACACAGACTGAAGTAGTTTAAGTCTTTGGTTCTTTTAATTGCACATTACTCACTCCCTATTTAACACTCACTCTTATCCCTTCTCTCTGCCGAGTATTGTTTAGCGATTATCACTCCCCTAGCGATAGCTACACTATGAAGCCCATTTAGTTTGTTTTAGCCCCACCTTAGTCTTGCCTCGTCTGTGTTCTCGTTCTTGATCTTCGCCTGTGTCTCTCGGATTCCTCCTCTCGTCTTCCCCCATTTTTGATACTGTTTGCCCCTGCCTGGACCTTGCCTTGTACCTGGACTTATCCCTCTAGTCACGCCCCTTTTGATTCTGTTTGCTTATTGTTGACCTACACTAGCCTGTACATATACCTGTTTGCCACTGTTTGACCCTGCCTGTGTTTCTGACCTCCTCTGATGTGAATAAAACTTGCATATGGATCCGCACGTCTCACGTCTTGTCAGCCCCGTAACAACTGGGCAACAGTCCAGTTCTTCTTCTCCTTAGCCCAGGTAAGACGCCTCTGACGTTGTCTGTGGTTCAGGAGTGGCTTAACAAGAGGAATACGACAACTGTAGCCAAATTCCTTGACACGTCTGTGTGTGGTGGCTCTTGATGCCTTGACCCCAGCCTCAGTCCATTCCTTGTGAAGTTCACTCAAATTCTTGAATCGATTTTGCTTGACAATCCTCATAAGTTCTCTCGGTTGGTTGTGCATCTTTTTCTTCCACACTTTTTCCACACTTTTTCCTTCCACTCAACTTTCTGTTAACATGCTTGGATACAGCACTCTGTGAACAGCCAGCTTCTTTGGCAATGAATGTTTGTGGCTTACCCTCCTTGTGAAGGGTGTCAATGATTGTCTTCTGGACAACTGTCAGATCAGCAGTCTTCCCCATGATTGTGTAGCCTAGTGAAACAAACTGAGAGGGCATTTTGAAGGCTCAGGAAACCTGTGCAGGTGTTTTGAGTTGAGTAGCTGATTGGCATGTCACCATATTGTAATTTGTTGAGATAGTGAATTGGTGGGTTATTGTTAAATGTTATTGTTAAATCACCACAATTAAAAGAATCAAAGACTTAAACTACTTCAGTCTGTGTGCATTGAATTTATTTAATACACGAGTTTCACAATTTGAGTTGAATTACTGAAATAAATTAACTTTTCCACGACATTCTAATTTATTGAGATGCACCTGTAGTTTTTATTCATATTTTAAATTAGATTTTTTTTATATATTCAGTTTTCTCTGTAATTTAACTGATGTACTATAATAGTTTGTGTTAAAGGGGGGTACAATGCAGTTTCATGCATTCAGAGTTGTTTACACTGTTAAAGAGTTGGATTCTCATGCTAAGCATGGACAAAATGTAAAAAAAACTATTTGGACGTATGCCAGAGTATTTCTGTGCTAAAAATCTTACGTCCGGGTTCGTACAAGTTTCGGAGAGTTTTTTTCGATCGCGGCTCTTCATGATGTAGACGAGGGTGCAACTCCTTATATTGGCATTTCTCCCGGAAGAGCGCATCCCGCACACATCGACCAGAGCGAGAGCAAGAGCGTGCCCATCAACGCGCTTCATTCAGCAGTAGTGATGGAAATTTTGATTCTTTCAAAAGATTCGTTCATTTTCAGTTAGTTCACCAAAAAGGTTCGTTCAGATTCGTTCACTGATTCGTTCAGTGACCATTTCTTCATATTACATAAATACGCCAGCAGGTGTCGAAAAAGAGTGTCTTATGTGTTATGTCTTAAGTCAACGAACGTATTCACTTGTTACAAAACTGATTTGGCTTTATTAAAATGTGTGCATAATCTACTCATTAAATAAAAAGTCTAAATAAGTTGTTCAGATGACCAAAGCACAAGGTTTTCTTGCATAATTAACATTTTAATTGTTTGGTCAAACAATTACACATTCATTAATCGGGGATTAAACGTGGAGTTATGTTCTGCATGCTAAATGTGAATATATAAACAAGTGTATGTGCACAGTATTAGGGGTGCTCCGATTGATCGGCTCCCGATCACAATCGGCCGATAATCGCTTTGGGATGATTGATCAGCGGTCTCTAAAAAGGCCTTATAAAGTAATTTGTAAACTTATAACTTATAAAGTAATTTGAAAACTTTCTGCGAGACATAATTTCACAAACAGCGTGAGTGAATCACCGCGCGCTCTCTCTCAAAATGCGCAAATGGGTTCAATTCACATCACGTCTGCACTATAAGCAGCTCCACAGTTAACACAGGAATTGTCACTTGTACAATCGAGGCAGTGTCACATCATCACTGAAGTTTATAAATTGCATTTCTTTTTAATTCTTGCCAGTGTTTAACTCCTGGAGCGCACACACATAACGTCAGGTTCACATCACTCCGTTTGCAGTGCGTATGTGGTGCGTATATTTTTTTCTGTGCTCATGTTAACGGATAAAGTATTCACACACTGCACACGGTTGCGGTCCGGCAGTGCATTCCAGGAGCGGTGCGTCTGCAGCAGTGTGGAGATCGTTTCCGCTGCATGCGCTGAATTAAAGTGACAGCACATTGTTTGCGGTAAATATGATATGAACATGGATTGACAGGAAAATGTAGTAATTACACCATAAATGCATATAATTAAAGTCTACTGTGTTTCACAGTCAACACATAGGCTTTTTGGCTAGGTTTAAAGGAAAAGAGCACTTCTAGATAAACAAGGCAATTATAGACGACACTCATGGAGGTTATGAACCGCGGGATTGCTTGTAATAAAGAATTAAATGCAAAAAAAAAGGCAGTAGAGCTGACTGTTTCTGTCAATGGTAAGTTTTAATTTAGAATGTTTGTGATAACATAAGAAAAGTAGTTTAAATGTTTTGCCACTTGCTTGAGCAACTTAATATATAAATCTAGAAGTAAATACAAAAGTAAAAAGCATTGAATAATGTGTTTCTTATATTTATTGCGTTTAAACATGTCTATGAAAGATTGTATTACTGTACTGTGTAAAAAAAAGCATTTTCAGTAACAATGTTTGGATTTGAAATCAAACTAATTTGGTAAAATGGTAAACAGCCACGGAGCAGTTGTAGACTCCTGTGTGAAAGCTGCTTCAGCACCGCTTACGTACCCCACATGGACTGCATACGCACTGCAAATGGAGTATGTGTGAACCTGGTGTAACACTGCCTCACATACAGCTCACGAAATCAGGCTTGTGCTGTGTGTAAGCTATTGTGCTTTGACAATTGCACGATTGTCAAAGCAAAAATGCAGTGCATAATCAGACATTTAGAAGATAATTATATATTTTTGAAAAATGTCTAAGAAATGCCCCCCTCCACCCCTCAAATTAAAAAATCCCCTCTCAGAAGAGTCACCTAAGAGGGGAATTCATTTTCAAAAATTAAATTCAGACTCTGAATAAATGTCTAAAAATCTTGATTGGATCATAACTATAAATAATTCTACATGATAAAAAGAAGGCTTTAAAAAGATCGGTATCGGCAGATACTGCTTTCTGTGATCGGCCTCAAAAATCCTGATCGGAGCACCCCTACACAGTACCTATAACTGCGCTTTGCATCCGCTTTCTGCTGATTTTTTATATAGATTGACTCACATGCTAAATGGCCAAATGACCAGGTACGCTCTCATTCATTTCGTTCACGAACGAGATATGTACCAGTTCGGTCATTTCATTCACGAACGAGATGTAGCAGTTCATTCAACTCGTTCACGAACGGCATGTACCAGTTCGGTCATTTCATTCACGAATGAGAAGATCTCTCGATCTCGTTCAGACTCAAAAGAAACTCGTTGAGTGAAGGACATTCGTTCGTTACATTCAACAAATCACATGCTCCATCACATCTCAAACTCGAAGGCTATTGGCTCGAGGGTTAGTCATTCTTTGACAGGATAAAATAGTCCACAGAGCTACCCGGTTCACTGATCCGTGAATACGATGCCAATAGCGCCGCGTTGCTCTGGAGGGAGGAATTTCAGTGAACGAGAAATATGAGTCAATGGATTACGTGAACGAGAACAATTCGTTCACCTAAAAGATTTGTTCAAAAAGAACGATTCGTTCACGAACGAAACATCACTATTCAGCAGCGCTGCACAGGACTCGCTCTGGAAGAATGTCTCTAAAGAAGTGTGTTTTTGGTTGTAAGGGAAAGATAACTTTTGTTCAGCTTCCTAAAGAACCCAACTTTATGTAAACAGTAGATGCATTTTATTTTTCCGGAGCAGCAACGCAGTTTCACAAGCGTGTTTGTTGACGAACATTTTATAAGCAAGGCCCAGTTCGAAGCTGGATTTGCACATCGTTTGATACTGAAAGATGGAGCAGTCCCAGCTATAAAAGATCCCGGTCATGATTCAGAACTGCAGACAGTAAGTGAAACTGCATCAAATGTCAGTGTTTTGTTGGCAGTCGGAGCTCAAGTGCTTGTCAATCTTTAGCTCCGCCCACGGCGCGCCTCCAGGAGCTCGGCTTTTTTCCGGAGAGAATCTTAAAGCTGTATCTTTCTTTTATAAATATGATCAAACTAAAGACTTTTTGGAGATATGAAGGATGCAGTACTACTCTATAAGTACTCAAGATTAACATGAGATTGGGTGAAACTGTGTGTATGTCCCCTTTAATAAGTAAAATTTGCATTTTTATATTTTCTGTTTTCATTTTAATTTTATTTAAAGCTTTCGTAATTTTATTGTGTGACTTTGTCCTTTTTATTTTATTTTTTAAATATGTCTATATAGTATTAATTAATTTTCACTAATACATTTTAGTCTATTTAGTTAAGTTATTTTAGTACTTGAAAAGTATCGGATAATTTTTTTTTTTTGCTTTAGTTCAGTTAATGATAATAACCCTGACACCATGACTATATTCATAACATGGAACAAGTGAAAAATAGAAACAATTATAATAATAATAACTAAAAAAATTTATGTTTTTAAAGTTTATGTTCTGTATGTTACATTTTTTTTAAAACTAAATCTGTTCTTTTCTTTTCATAAGAACCAACTGAAAACAGAAGGAAAAACCATCACAGTACTTTAAAATTCCTCCAGCATAGGATCTTCATCCATTAGCCTTAAACTTGTGGTTTAGTCTAACATGACCTATTCAACTTTCTTAACAATCAAGCACTTACTTATTATACATACATACATTTATATATATATATACAGTATATATATACACAAACATTTATATATATATATATATACACACACACACACAT